CGCCGCTCCCCGCCCGGCGGCAGCCCCTGCAACCCTGTGCTCACCTCCGAGGGCTGCCCGGCGCCCACCACGATGAGCTTGCCGTCCTCCAGCCCCACCAGCACGTGGCTGCGCTCCTTGGTGACCGCCACACTGCGGATGGGCACCTTCATGGGCAGGGGAGGCGCTGCCGGCAGCAGTCTGGAGCGGGAGGGGACAGCAGGGGGCCTTGTGGCCAACAGGTGGACGTCCCTTCGGTTTCCCACGTGCCCACCCAGCCCTCATGCTTTTTAGAGAGAGACTGGTTTTTTCCTGTGCTCTTCAGAGAGTAAGAAAGTGAGAAATCCCCCCGGGGGCACGGCCACGGGCAATCCCTTCTCCTCCATTCCCCTCTCAGGATTTTGGGCCTGCACACGTGCCGGGTGTGAGTTTCAAGCCACTGGGCCTGGGACTCGAACCGCAGTCAGCTGTGTGGGACTCCAGTGAGGTAACCACTACACCAGCTGCCGGCCCCAGTCCTCATTTTAAGGATGGTTACGCTGACATGCCGAGGCCCGGGTGGGGCCGGTGGCCGGTGAGAGGACAGAGCAGGCCTTGCAGACTGTGCGGGTGGGTGCTGGGGTGGACGGGGTTTGTGGGACCCCCCCAGGGCCGCGGCCCATGAACAGTGGTGCTCACTTGCTCAAGTGCAGGATGTGCAGGGCACACTGGGCCGTGCCCAGCAAGATAAAGTCCTCCGTCACCGTCAGCGCCGTGGGCTGCTCTCCCAAGGGCAGCGATGCCCGCAGCCTCCCGTTTACTGAGTACAGGTGCAAGGAGTGGGTGACCTGGAGGAAGCAGGGGGTGTCGGCAAGGACAGGCTCCCGGCTGCCCCCTTCCCTGCTGCTCACCCCTCCCCATACCTGGGCCCCAGGTCGCTCCCACGCCGAGCTCTGCACCACAATCTGGCCTTCAGCCCCCAGTGCCAGGTGGGACACAGGGCCGGGCAGCGTGGCCCCTGGAGGCCGCAGCACTGCCATGAACTGGCCACGGCGGACAGTGTGGATGATCACGGTGCCGTCCTATGGGAAGGCAGCTTAGGACACTGGGCAGGGGTCTCTGGGGCCCAGGGGCAGTGCCTGGCAACACCGTCTCCGGGGCACACGCATGTACACACCTCGGATCCAGACACAGCCATATCGAGTTCAGTGCAAATGGCCACACAGCTCACCGCTGCCTCATGCCCGTACAGGACCTGCACGGGCTCTGGTGCCAGCCCCACTGACAGACCGCCCTGTGGGGAGCAGGGCGGCTCAGGACGGGCCCCCAGACGAGAAGGCTGGGACTCCGAGAAGGAAGTCCTCCTCCACAGCCTGAGGACTGGTGTGGCTCGGAGCCCAACCTGAAGCTCAGTAAGGGGTGAAGGGCTGCAGGTCCAGACCACAGGGATCCCCGGGACTGCCCACCAGGCACACCTGCTGCAGGAGCCGCCACACCATGCACGTGGTGTCCCGGGAGCCCGAGATGAGGTAGATGCCACAGGAGTCCAGTGCGAGGCAGGTCACCACATCTGAACGGGGCCGGGCAGAACAGTCATGGCCTCCCTGGCCAGGCTCAGAGCCCCACCTCTGACCCACATGCCTCGCCCTCCCCAGCTCCGAGGCTCCTCGTACCCAAGTGGCGGCTGAGCTGGCTCAACAGCTTGCCCCGGGGTAGTGCGGTCACTCTCAGGCTGCCGTCCCAGTGGCCACCGCTGAACAGCAGCTTCCCGTCGGGGGACACTGCTAGCACTTGCCCACTCACCCCACTCTATCCTCGGGCTGCCGTCCCAGGGGCCCCCGCTGAACAGCAGCTTCCCGTCGGGGGACACTGCTAGCACTTGCCCACTCACCCCACTGCCGGGCACCCACGGGCCACTCAGCAGCCGCTGTGTCCTGATGCAGTGGGGGGTGGGGGCAAGTGAGACCAGGCCACGTGGACAAGACCTGGGTTCCCCCCTGTGGCTGGCCCATATGCTGAGGGGCAGGGCATGAGGAGCCCACCCCCCACAGCCCTCTGTCCTACTTGGGGCTGCCCAAGGTGGGGTCTTTGCTGAAGCTGAAGTAGTTGCTTATGTTGCGGTCATAGGGCAGCCAGCTGTGGGTGCCCAGCAGCCCACTGGCACTCACGGTCACCTGCGGGAGGAGGGCGCAGGGGTGCATTTGGAGCAGAGATGGAGAGGGTTGGAACTAAGGTAGGGCCCCACCCAGTGCACTTACCAACAGGTCTGGGGAGCCCTGGGTGATGAAGGAGTGGGGCTGCCGGTGAGGGACCAGGGCCAGCACCAGGGGTGCACCTTCACTGACCACCTGTGGGGTGAGGGTGGTGCTGGTTGGACCCCTGGGGTACCACCCCTTCCCTTGCCTTCAGCCACAGGGGTCACAGACTAGGCACCCCCCAAACACCAGGCATGAGAGCAGTGGGCTTTCGGGGAGGCATCTTGGAAAGGAACGAGAAGCTGGCAGGGACACGGAAGATCCTTCCAGAGTCACTCGCCCCAGACCTCGAGGTTGGTGTCAGCCTGGGCCCTCCTACCCCATTACTCCACGTGCCCCCAGCCCAGTGGCGAGGGGAGCCTGTTGAAGAGCCAGGCCTGGGGGCAACACGCGGGATGCAGGCAGGACAGGGCAGGGTGTCCGAGGCCCTCCTCCTGATCTCTGACGTCAGAGGGTGTCAGGGGGCCCCGGGAAGACCGCAGCGCTCCTGCCCCGCACTGCTCCCACAGTTAGCTTGTTTTCCAGGGGGCCTCTATTTTCTTTTTTCATTTTTCTTTTTTTGGGGGGAGAGGTTTTCGCTATAGGGCGCATGCACTTACCAGAAAGACACAGAGAGACAGAGAGACAGAAAGCGAGAAATCACCCCCAGGGGGATGGCCACGCCGCAATCCCTTTTCCATTCTCCTTTCAGGATCTGAGCACGCATGCACATGCACCCGGCATGAGTCTAAGCCACTGGGTCCGGGACTCAAACCAAGGTCGACTACATGGGAGTCCAGCAACATAGCCATTACACTAACTGCTGGTCCCTCTATTTTTTATTTGCTTTTGTTATAAGGTCCATGCACTCTCCAGAGAGAGAAAGTGAGAAATCAGCCTCCAGGGGGATGGGAACACCACGAGCCCTTCACCTCTACTCCTCTGGGGATTTGGGGCACGCACGTGTGCACACACACCCGGCATTTCTCAGGTCGCTGGGCCAGGGCCTGAACAACAAAGCTGGCCATATGGGGTCCAGTGCCTAACCTTCATGCCATGCCACCCACTGGGCCCCAGTGTACTTTTTACTTTGTGTTTTTATTGCCAGCGCACGCTGATGTGGGAGGAGAGGCGCACTCCCCGGTGGGGCGTGGCCACCCTGCAATCCCTTCTCCGTTTCTCACTCCTGTCAGGATGTTGTGCACACGCACACACATGCCTACTGTGTGTTCCATGCCACTGGGGCTGAAATTTGAACCACAGTTGGCCATGTGAGACCACTGGGCTGCCAGGCTGGCCCAAAGATGCCGTTAAATCAGTGACTGATTTAGTATTGTCTCTAGCCCCCAAAGACTGATGAAGACAGGGGGGTTAAACCCATTTTACAGGACGGGAAGTCGAGGCCCTGCCCTCCTTTCACCTCTGCAAAGAAGGCCTTGAGCTGGTCCAGGTGCTGGAAGATGCTCGGTGAGCTAGTGTCCAGACGAGCCAGACGGTGGGCGGGCTCCT